GTCTTTCGATAAATGTTAATAATTCCTCATCAGGTTGAATTGTCTAAAGAAATGAAAATTAAATTAATCAGATTAATAAAATTCAGATTTACTTTTAATGAAAAATAATGTATTTGTTGATTTTGTTGCATACAAACAACATTCTGTTGAGATTTATCATGTGTCCATCGTATAAAACGAAGAAAATTACCATCATTTGCATTACTTGCATCAATATAAAAAACAGGTACACCACGAGCACTTAAGATCTATTACGGAAAATTTTCTTAGAATAGTTTTTTTGAATATAAATTTAATGAATAAACATACTGCCCACACATATTCTTCATCAGCTGTTTGTGGTAAACTACGACGTATTTTCCCACGATATACTCCTAATGGTTCATTTGGCTTTAAAGTTTGCTTTGCAAATAAACCTGAAGAAAAAGAATAGTTTCAAAATACAATGTAGATTTCATTGTTTTTCTTTAATACCATTTTGTCCAGGTTTAACTTTCGATGGTTTAAAACAAAGATAATTAGGTAGTTGAATATTATCTTCAGACATATCTAAAAACAACAAATTTTACTATTCCAATAAAAGTCAAGGTGAAAACTAATTGACATGTTGAAATTAATTCACGTGTTCTTTAAGGAAAAATAAAATATATAATCTCATCGAAGAAGAAGAAGAAAATGATCTCGATGGATGGTGACAGCTGTTGAAATTAACCTATCTGAAGGAATATGTATTTATCTTCGGTATGGAGTTCAAAATACTTCATTGATGTATGTTACAATTGAAATATTCTTTTTAATACTTCTATAAAATCATGAAATAAGTGAAAGAATAGCTTGAAAATGACGTTCATAATTGAATGTACATATCATTTCATCTCTCATCCATTGTTTTTATAATATGAGAGGCTCAATTTGAGTATCGAAAGATGTCGCTCAACTGTTGTCGAAACGATATACCTTAATAGATTAATATTATATTCATATTAATATATACGTAATAGATAATGCTTTATTGAATAAATCTTTGTCTTATTTATCTAATATTCTAATAACGTCTATATTACAAAAAGTCACTGTGACTTATAGAATAATCTACTTTGTTCTTTATACCGATCGAAGAATCGATATATGTATGTAATAAAGACAAACTGTCAAGCTCCACGTGATTCATACTTTTGTTATGAGATTAAAATTGCACGGATGCACTTAATTTATAATTTGGGCCTAAAATGTTTCTAAGAAATGATTCGTACTGAAGTTGGATTTGTAGAGCGAAAAGATTTTACTCCTACAGCCATTTTTAATGGTGATTTCTCATGAGAAGACAAGTAGCAATGTTCAAGGACTGCGTAATAGAAATTGCTAATTTGCAAAGGAACTATTATCACTGCTACAATAATTCTTCAAGAAAATGGAAATTAACTATTACGTTTAACACAAACTTTCCCATCCATAAAAGTTAAACTAATCATTTTTTTCGAACTAATCTTCGTACCTGTACATTCATGCTTATAAATTTCTTGATGAATATGAGTACAAGAGTAAAAAGTATTACAGATACTGTATTTTATTCAATGTCAACACTCAGCGAAACGTGAAAGAACTAATCAGAAAATTTGTGTTTCTCAGTCCTTGGGCACCTCTCAACTGGAATCTTTTATAGACAAATTATATATATTCATAAAACTGTGTCTAAGCTCGATATACCATACAAAGGTTAGAATCTTTATCATAATATTACTAAGACAACATGATTATTCAAAAAATAATGAGACTTTAGAAGGTAGATAGCATTATTATCAACAATATGATACATAGCTTTTCTGATAATGTAAAAATAAAATAAAATAAAATCTATTCTAAAAGTAGAATTTGCACACAATAAATAAAATTTACTTTGAAATGTAGTTGCTTTTGTTCGTTTCATAATTAATGATGATCAACCGTAATCGATTATACTATATATTTCTTGAAAATGTTTTTATTTTTTATTTCTATTTGCCGAAACTGGTGACCTCTCGAATTCTAACAGTACATATATATAGAGGAGAAAGAGATACAACGTAAAAGTAATGGAGAAATAAATTGTCTTCAAAAAAATTAATTTCTTATCAAATAATAAATCATTCAGTGTAACTAATTATATATTTTCGTTGGTTTAATTCGTTATCAATCCATTGTAGGGAAAAAGATGAATTTTTAGTTTAAGTTCTTAATAAATAATCGAAAGAAAGTTGTACATTAAAAATTTCTCATATGCCAGTTTGTTCTATGATAGACATACAACAATCTCAGAGTTCGAGAATAAATGAAATGATGTCATCTGTATGTCATATCGGTTATATTCCTCAATAAAATTGTAACTTGGATACAACATATTCCAGTATTAGATTCATTCTCTGGAAGAGAGTATTTCAACTAACAAGAGGAATGTGGATATGTGTGGGCTGATATTTGACATTGCAAAGTTATTTGTTGTGATGTTTCTCATATTGAATATAAATATTGTGACTCATAACAATCTTTCGAATTCTTTCTGTCATACAAACAAAAAAACTCATACAATTGAGAGTATGATTAACTCGAAGAGTAAAATTAGACCGGGAGGATGAAAGTGGATCTTTCTAATTAAATAGAAGATTCTGATCAAGAAAAAAATCGATAGTTTCACAATTATTATACAGGTATCAAAAGAAAGTTTTATGATCAACTCCAGAATGGATGTCATAGGTAACATAGTTTACTGATGTCATTGGTAGGTGTTCTTATCTTACCTAAAGATTCTACTTCATCCAAGGAGACGAACCAGTCTCTTTTTATTCTTGCTTGAGGCCACGAGGACTTTTATTTCGACTTTAACTATTTCTTATACTGAGAATTGTGTCTAAACACTTGTGTATAATATGAAGGACGATGTTGAAATAACAGAATATAATTATTCTTTCATATCATTTGATATTTTTTTAAATAATCTATTGTAGAATTTATTATCCATGTTAGGATTTTTGTTGATATGTTTTCTAATCATTGGATCACTGGTTTATTTCGTGCAATCTGTAAAACGTCGAAAATTGAAACAAGTACCAGTTGATAATAAAAAAGTATTTGGAAAATGGACTCCTGTTTCATTTGAAGCACCTCGTCCAGTTCCTTATCCAGACTGGTCCGTGGAAACGACTCGTCCATTACCATATCGTCCATTTAAATATGGACCTGATTATTTTGTTACAATGGGCATTAAACATTTAGATTGGAATGATTGGATTGAATTAGATAATGAATGGACAAAATATCATAATACAAAACTTGCTCGACTTTCAGAAGATCGATCTTCTCGTTTATATAAAATAGCACCTGAAGCACAAGATGCTGCACTTGAAACAATGGAATTATTAAGTGAATATTTAGTTTATCGTTATCCATCTCTTTTTGAATATCAATTTAATAATAAACAAAAACAAATTCGAATTAAAACAACAGGAGAAACATATCCTATTTATTCCGATGATCCACTTAAATATGCATCACTTTTAATTCAAGATGATTTAGCACTTATGATGGAAGGATCTGATGGACAATATTATCTTAAAGGTGGTATTATTATTATTCCTGGTTTTTGGCGTCTGGAAGATAAATTCAATATGCCTCTTGCACAAATTCATACGTCAGGTGATGTACCAAAATTTGAAGAAAAATTAAAATGTAGTATGGAAAGATATTTTCAAAAAATGTCTCCTCAACATCCAGTTATTCGTTATAATTATTTTATTCAAACAGATGGTGAATTAGCTTGGTCATCTTCAATTGGATCAGAAGATACGTTTGGTATAGGATGGGAAAATGCTATACCAAATCCTCCTATTGAAAAGATTCATTTTCGTAGTGAAAGACAATCACTTAGACGATTACCAAGATCAGGCGCAATTCTTTTTACTATTCGTCCTTATTTTATTCCCGTTGTAGATATTGCAGAAGAACCAAATATTCCAGGACGATTAGCTTCAGCTATACGTAGTTGGCCTGATGATGTTGCACGATATAAAGGAAAACAAGCTTATGAAGATGTTGTTTTAAAATATCTTGATGAAAAACATGAACAACAAGTTGAAAATGATCTTCAAGAAGATAATCCAAAACCATATCCATATTGAAACTAATTATTCGTCAAATTCTATTTTAAAAGTAAAAATTGTAGAATTATTTTTTCTTTGCCCAGAATAAATCAGTAATTGTATCATAGAAGAAAATAAATATTATTATTACGCTTTCTATTTCGATTTTAGTTTCTCTAAGCTTTGTTCAGAATTAATAGAGTCAAGTCAGTTATTGTAATATAAAATCAATAGACTCGATTCTATGATAGAAACTAGAACAAAAAGAACACTGATGGATATTTAAATTTATGACATATTCTCGTGAATCTAGCATAGATCACCTGACGGTTAGAATCAATTACGGATCTCTTCATAGCCAAAGTTCAAACCATTCATAAACTATTCTCCATTTGAAACGAATAGATAAGGGTGTATGCGATTAGCTGTAAGTGATATCGGCGCTAAAGATGTTTGAGATTCTCAGACGGTCGTAAATATAGGCGTAAACAATCAAGTGCATCGATAATTAGCATTACCGATCGAATGATATTGCGCGATTTATATACAACTATGTTTGCATCTTATTGAATAAGATTTATCTATTTGTTGTTTTTTGCTTTGTTTATACGAATAAATTAAATATATTGAGTAAGTTTTTATTTTTACAAATAATTTCATAGTATTACAATGACTAGAATACTTATATTTTTTTCGTAAAACTATTCAATAAATATCTCACAACAAATAAAAACAAAACAAAAAATATGAAGAGATTGCACAAAATAAATGACTGACAGAAAACATTGATCACAATAAAAATAATCTTATAGATTCACGTATGTTCATGATGTGAATGTGAATGTAAATTTTGACATTCACCTTCGGGTGGTTTAAATCGAACTCGTTGACGTATAGATGCTCCTGTATTCTTCGATGAATTAATCATTCCATTCGCAGGTGTTGTTGATAATAAAGCCGTTGCTGTAGATATTGTATCAGGAGAAAGATATTTTTCAGCTTGATACTCATCACTTTCATCCAATCTTAAATAATAAACAAAAATATATATATGAATTAATCAAAACAAATACACATACTTCCAGTCAGAATGTGTTACTACACCGATGCCAACAAGACACATACCAATAAAGATTACCAAACAAAAAATAGTTGTAAAATTGACTAGTGGTTTCTATTAAATACATAAATTAAAAAAAATTTTCTGATAGAAAATAAAAATATCTTACGCGATATGTTGGTAATTCAGAATATCTATTCGTTGTTAAATAAGCACAAACTTCCGCATACATTTGATCTAAACATAGAAATAAATACTTTAAGATTTCGACAATAATCAATACTTACGTTGTACTTTAACTCGTGTATCATGATTAACACTTTGTGGAATACATTGATTAAGAAGAGACTAAAATAAATAAAATCGATGAATAAACTCTTATATACAGAAATATTTTATTTACAGAACAATGTGTTCGTAGAACATTAAGTTGTTGTTCATTAATAACTCGTTTCGGTTTTCTTGATGTCTTTCCAGATGTTCGTCTTAATGGATTTAAAGATCTTAAAGATCTTTTTGGTCGTTTTAAAACTTCACATCGAAAAATAGAACAATAATCCGATAGACATGTTGATTGTTCATTCTAAATAAACAATTCCCGTTTTTTAAAAATAAATTTCAATCGCTTCTTTGTTCTTACTATTAATAATGTTTCATTATGTCGATTAACAAAATGCATATCAAGATAAAATTCGGACAAAAATGTTTTATTACAATATTTACATAACCATTTATCATTCGATATTTTATGTTTATGTAACTCATGTCGATAAAAAATATCACGCATTGGCGAAAACACACATTCCAATGGAATAGCTAGTTGATTTTTTTCATAAATTGGTGCAAGTGCCTATTTACAAAAGTTAATTAAAGAGAATTATCTTTTTTTTCAAACAATTACTCGTGTAAAATAATCGCGAACAACTCGGCTGCCTTCACGTGAACATGGTGGTTTTACGCAATAAACAGAAGTGAACTGAAATAATAATACATACAAATTATTTCAATAAATTTTCTTTACATACGAGAAAATAAGTAAATATATAAACATTCATCGTAGTAACATTCTATCTGAAACATAAAATTCAGGTCGATGGTATTTGTGTTTATAATTAAACGCATAAAATAATAAAAGTCAAATAGGAAATTTTGCATATATAAAAGAAACATAAATTATATCACATCTAGTACGAATATTTGAGAATAACAATGAAGAAAAAGAGCGAGAAGATATTGGGTTTTTTGTATTTTTTGCAATGATAATGATAAATATGGAATTAATTATTTTTATTGTAATCTTACACGGGCTTCATTTGTGGCATGGCCGAATATTCTAAAAGTAAAATTTATATAAAATTTTCATTTTAAAAAAAAATGCCTATTGATTTATATAAACTTATAATTCTTAAGCTATATAACAGAACAAAAAATAAGATGTTAGATAATTATTTCCCATAGAAAGATCAACAAATTTTAGATATTGAAATATTCACAAACTTTTCTGTATTTGTTGTTATATCTTGTGTATCAAGTGATGAATTTAGGAGCTGGTGAGTCTGTTGTTCATAATCAATACTGTTCATACTTGTTGCTGATTTTGCTTGTTTTGATGTATATTCCAAATAACTAAATATTGTACCAGAAACTAATGATAATCCAATACCAACAACTGTATTAATATTTATTGAAAATCGATCGAATACAAACAAACCAAAGAAAACTTGTAAGATACTTTTAAGTACACCAACAACACTAAAACAAAGAAAATATTTTCGTATTTTTTTAAATTCCTAGAGTCAAGAAAAAACCTTGTTGTCAAAGCTGAATTTTTCATTGTACACCAAAATGTTGCACCATTGAGTAAACCTCCACCAAATGTTGATGCCATAAAATATAACCAAAACGAAAATGTATTATAACCATTATAAGATCGAACACTTGATACTTCATCAGTTAATACAAGCATGAGAACTAATACCATTGGTAATGATAAAAGACTATTAATATAAAGTACATCCGAAGATGTTTTTTGTTCACTACATCGTTGAATTGTTAGAAGATAAAGTGATTGAAATATAACACTAAGACCTCCAATGAGATATGATTCTCCATGAAATGTTAAATCACCAGCTGATGTTATTACAGCACCAAATGTAATGGCAAATACACATAAACCAAGTTTAAGACTAAGTTTTTGTTTTTTTAATACAAGTGTGGATAAAATAAATGTTAATGCTGGTGTACAACGCTAAAAGAAGAAGTTTTATAATGACTAATCGAGAGATTTATAAAGAGCTAATAGAATTATGTAAAATCAAGCTTTTAAGCTTATAGTTTCTATTTAAACATGCTCTTTTCTCCATTCTAGCACATATATAATGCAGATTGTAATACCTTACTCGATAATATTTCAATTCAATTCTTATTTTTGAATTTAAAAAGAATATATATATATACATTTGAATATTAAGATAAACTAACCTTAATCACAACGTAAATAGCAACATTAAGTTTCATAAGTGCTTGTAAAGATAATACAGTACTCAAACTATAGAGAATGGACGGAACAAGAAATACATATATATCATTTCGTGTTATCAGTGGTATTGACATAAGACGAATATAGCCAAGTATTTGAAATGATAATAGTACGAATAAAAGCTGAATAAATATAACAAATAAACTATTGCGAAAATCAGCTATTTCAAAAAGGGCTTTATTAAGAAATGCCATGGAAAAAGATAAAAATCCATAGGTTAACATTGAGGGAAGGTGCAACATTATTGATGTTTATTATATCTTAAATAAATAAAGTAAGTAGAAAAAAATATATAACAAATTTTTTTATATTTTAAATTTATTTTATTATCTTAATTTATTACAATTAAATTACAAATTAATTTAAATATGGAATAATAATTTCATGTAGTTGTTGAATAACTGAAGAGTAATATAAAAAAGAAAAAAAATATATTAAGAAATAAAAAAAGATTTTTGCATAAGTTATACTTGTCCGAACAAGTCGGCGAGAATTAATCCAGTAGAAATATTGATATCAGTCATTTAATCACTAAATAAACAAGCATGCAATGGCAAAAAACAAAGTGGAATACAATATATTTTGCTATCAAATCTCTCCTTTTAATTCTGTAGTATTTTTTCTTGTGCGGACCTTTTTTATAATTCGCAGATGAGCACTGGCTATAAACCAATGTTGCTCTAGCAAGACAAAAAAAAGAAAATAAATAATGATAATAATATAATAAAACGAAATTTCAAATATCTTGCCTCCTCCTTTATTTCCAAATAAAATAAAACTTAATCCATAATTATATTTTCTATCTTACATGACAGAAATTATAAATCCAAAGATATTCTTTTTTCGTACATGTCGAAATAGATGAAGATGATCATATGTATCAATCTCTCTTAGTTATTTTTATGCATCATTTGTTCATAAATCCTTAAAGAAGAAGAAGAATAAAGATTAACAAACACAAAAAGAAAAGAAAACAAAAAATGAAAAAAGAAACAATATCTCTTGCTTGTTGTGATAATAAACATTAAACACAACAAAAATCATATGGTATTTATGTATGTGTATATATCTATATATATATATATATATATGTATTTGTTAATAGAATTGTACAAGAAGAAGAAGCAAACAAAATGAACGAAAAGAGAATTCGAAGTAAATGATGTTTTTTTTTTTTGTTTTTCCTTAATTTCTTTGAACGGTTATTCTAGAAATAGAAAATCCTACATTCTTTGTTATTATTATTTTTTATCACTGTCGTTCTTGAATAAATTGATGTTCAAATGCTTGTTTAATATTTAAACGTTTTTGTGGATCAAATACAAGAATTTTATCTAATAAATCATGTAATTGTACAACTTTTTTCATTTGATCATCTGGTAAACGTTGATGACCAACTAAAAGTGATAATAAATGACGAGTTGCATTTATATTTGTTACTGTTGTTATTTTATCCTTAATAAACAATAATACAAAAAAAATCGAAATCGAAAAAATTTAACTTACTCGTTCAGTTACTTTATCAATTTCATGATAAAGAAAATTACAATCACGATCAAAATGTTTATCTTTCAATAAACCTTTTCGTATTATCCGATTTGGTACTTTGCCTTTAAGATCCATCATTAATTTTATCATATCATTATTTGATTTACCCGGAAACATAACACGACCAGTATATAATTCATAAATAGTGACTGCAACTGACCAAAGATCAATAGCAAAATCATATTTCATACCAAGAACTTTAAAAGTAAATCAATTTTTTACAAAAGAATAAAATGAATATTTAATTACTTACTTATTTCTGGTGCACGATAAAAACGACTAACTAAATAGGGTGTTATTTCACAATCGGATCCGTATGATGCTGAACCAAAATCACATAATTTTAAATATAATTTCGTTTCATTAACTAAGATATTATCAGGTTTAATATCAGCATGTAAAATATTACATTTTTTTAAATGTTTTAGTGCTAACATTAATTGTTGAGCATAGGAACGAACAGCTTTAATACTTAAACCAACATCTTTACCATATTTTTTAAGTACTTCACGTAAATTCATACTAAAACCAAAAAAAAAGGTTTAGTTTTTTGTTTTATTCAACTTTTAATGTGTCTTACCTAAGTGGTTCAAATACAAGACATAAATGATGTCGATGAGTAAAATGATGTAATAATCGTAGACAATGATAGCGATCTTCTGTATCATTTTCATTTAATTTACGTAAATATTCTAATTCTTTCCAACCAGTTTTATTCCTAAAGAATAGGATTATGATCTTGTTTAATAGAACAATTGAGACTTACATAAGTTCATTATTTCGAATAATTTTAATTGCAACTTCTGTACTTTTTCCACCTGTTTCTTCTCGAGCTCGAACAACATTTGAAAAAACTCCTTGACCAGTAAATCCAAAAACTTCAAAACGATTATTTAATATTTCTCCAATATGTACACCTAAATTAAAATCATTCATAATTATCTTCGAAATAGAAATAAAAAGAGTAATACATACGATAATATCCTTCTGAATCATCCCAATTATCAATTAAATGTGGATTTTCACTTTCTTTTGAATTTCCTCTACGACGCCATGCACCGGGACTCTATAACGCAAACAAAATTCTTTTTCGAAAACAAAAGAAATTTAATTCTATTTACATTTGTATCTACATAATCAGCATCGTCAGCAAACATATCATAATTATTTGTTACAGCTTTTCTTCTTTCTAATTCTTCATTTCGTAATTGATTTGTAATAGATGGTGAATTAGCATCATTACCTGGCATTGGTTCACCTAAAGAAAATTAATCATTAAATACATTTTTCTTTTAGAATGAAGATTTACTTACTATCGATATTAGCATTTCGTTTATCTTGTGCACATTTTTCAAAATCAATTCGTTCTTGTTCAATACAATGATTAAGAAAAGCTGCTTGTTCATCATCATCAACATTTATGATTTTATTTGTATTGTTTATAGGAGGAGTTGCTTCACTGGTTGTTGGAGTAGATTGTTGAGCTTGCATTGCATCACTATCCACGGAAGATTCATCTACAGGTTCTTTTTCAATTAATTTCTAAATAAAACAACAATGCCTTATTTGTAATAATATAAATAAATTTCGTACTTGTTTTAATTGTTCACGTCGAAGTCTTTGACGACGAATAATTTCTTCTTCATTTTCTTCATCTGGAATGTCAATATCATTCCTATAAAAATATGAATAGATGCATACATGATTAAATTTCCAAAAAAGAAACATACTCGTCTTCATCACTTGATTTTGCTTTGTTGTCATGATGTTTATGTTGGTTTGACCGTTTTGAATCATTACTATGTCTTTAAAAATAGAAATTATATACATAAATATATATTGCTTCTAATTTTACTTACTTATTTGATGAATCAGTATCAAGAAGAAGAATAAATTCTTTTGAACTTTCACCAAATTGTATAACATCATTTTCTTCTAGTTTATAAAATCTATTTGCATCAATACGACGTCGATTAAGATATGTACCATGCGATGAATCTAAATCGATCAAATATGGATATATATGACGTCCATGTGAATCAGTACGAAGACGATACTGTAAAACAGCGTGAATATTTGAGCATGATGCATGATGTAATCGAATATCACATTGATCTTTATCACGACCGAATATATATTTTGATTGACGATAAATACGATAAGGTGGAAAATCTTCGCCTTCTTTAGATACCGATAAACGCCAACGTTGTTCAGGTACACGAGCTTCTGATGGTTCTTTATATAGTGATTTTATTCCATTTCGTGATGATGATGATGATTGTTTTCGATGAGCATTATCATCATCATCTGAATGTGAAGTTTCTATATAAAACAAAATGATTCAAATTTTAATCCCAGTCAAACTTCAACTTCTAAAATTAATTCTAATTACTGAACACATATAGTTCTTGCTTTTGAAAATAAAGCTATATCCTCTCTATTAATAAGACATCATGGTCTTTCGAAGCTATACTACAAAAATATTAAATTGAAGATTCTCCGAATGCTGTTTATGATATCAAAATCTGCCAATTTAGTTAACATCCTTCCTTATATAAAAGAAATTACATACCTGAATGTTTAAAATTTTTATGATTACGCGATGATTTTCTTTCATCATCTGATGGTGAATGCTCATATTTCTTCTTTCTTGTATTTGTTTCCTGTCTTTCTGGTCGAGGCATTGTATCTGAAAGATAAAAAAATAAAATTACTATATTTCTTAAATCATTATCTATTTTTATAATCTATATATATATATGAGAAAGATAAGGTAGAATATTTTTTTTTATTTTCTTTTAACAACATACGATTAGACTGTCTATTTGATCATGACTGTTCGTGTAAAGTAAGACAACAGAAATTTTTCAAAATAAATTTCCATTACACATTGATCAAGTAATATGATTTGTTGAAGAAAAACGAATCATCTAAAAAATAGCAATAACAATCTCAAAACTAATGTTATAAAACAAAAACAACGAAAAGTATTTTTAAATATAAACTATTTAGATTCATCATCTTTATCTGATGATGGTGGCAGTGCTTCATCATTAAATGGTGATAATATAGATAAAAGCATTGATTGTGCTTTTTCTTTTTGTCTTAAAGCACGTTTAGCATCTTTCGCTTTTTGTGTTTCTTCTTTTTCATGATCAATAGCACGTAATTCACTTTGTAATTGTTTTAATTCAACATCAGGTACATAACGAAATGCATCATCATCTTCATTTGGTTCATCAATTCGAAGTTCAACACCTTCAGGAACATTCAAACGTATACATTCAAATAATATTGGTGCTATTGTTGCTTTTACTTTTGCAAACTAAATTGAAAATTTTTTAAGAGTTTTCAATTTTGTTTTTAACTATTTACTTTAACTATACGATGATATAAATTTAAATGATGTTCAACATCAATCTGTGCACTACGTGGTTTAAGAATTGTTACACGAGATGATTTAGCTGGAATAGGCACACTAAAAATCAATGATTCATAATGAAAATAGATCAAAAAATGATTACATACGCTTCTGGTACTTGAATATCGAGTGATTTAGCTAATTTTTGTATGTATCGAAAATAACCTTCGAGTACAACGTAATCATAACCTCGTATAGAAACAGCCAATAAGGAATAGTTAGGATAAAGATCAGTTTCGAATAGATATGGTGGTTCATAGATAATACCACGATTTGTTGTTGGATCAGGAATAACACATACAGTTTCAGGATTTACATTGTTTGATTTTGCAACTGATGCACGATTGTCAGATCTGAATATATATATAATTAATGACATTTATATGAAAATAAAATAAACTTACCGAGTGAAACGTACAGATAGTAATGATCTATATGTATAGGGAGATAGAAGAGGTACTAATCGTTTCAATACTGAATTCATTCTTTTACTGTCAAAGATAAAGATTGTACAACTAAGAATTAAGCAATTCGAAGTGTAATGTCTATGTTGTAAGAAATAAATAAACAAATATGGCAACTAACCAATCACATTGTATAATTATTCTCTATAATGAAGATAAAAAAATAGACAGATGTCACTAGAATTAATTGAGATCTTTTGATATTTACTTTTAACTTTTATGTCCTATAATTATCAGGTTATCAAGAAAATAAAAAGAATAAATGTCATGAAAAAAAACTCTTCACTTTGAGTTATTTGTAACCGCAATTGTATAGAATCAACGATTTCAAACAAATATTGTATTTTATCTCACAACTTTCTATCGTTCATATTCCCTCTCTTTATAATGATACATCTGTAACAACATAGAGTCATTTTTGTTTACACACAAGTTTGAAATCAGATCCTCTATAATATATCATGTATAGTATAGTAAAACGATTTTTATAATCTGGAATTTTCTATATATTACATATCATATCCGTATTAAGATAAGACCTAAATATAATTAAAACTATTTTTATCAAAAAGTTAGTATTATCTGATGTATGAAATAAATAAGTATTATTTATATGTTATTCAACGTTTATTTTTATTTCTTAATTGATTAAAATGAATGAGTTATAATACGGTTTCTCTAGATTGAATACTACAAAAAATTAAGTTGAAAGTTTATGTTTTGGTGCTGCATGATCTAATTTTTGTAATTACGAGGATTGAGAGCATCGAGAACTTGATTGAGATCACCTTTTTTCGATTTAATAAGTTCAGTAAGGACACCATTTGAATCAACAAAACCCATTGCAGTCATTCGTTCAATACATTCATCCATTTTTTTTTGTTCAGCAGCTTCTTTATCTTCAGCTGTAACAGTTGTTGCTGCTGCTGCTGCCGATGTTGGTGGTACTTGAAACATTGGATTAAACATTGTTTGAAGTTGTTCAAGTAAGTTGCCAAATGATGGTTGACCAGCTGGAGCTGATGTTGCACCACCGTTGGATGGAGGAGCAGTTGGTTTAGGTTCAGCACTTGTATTGCTACTTGCTGTTGCTTCTTCAGTTTTTTCCTTGTTTTCAGTTGGTTCAGCTGTTTCTTTTTTTTGTTGATTTTGATTATCAACAAAATAATCACAATCAATACCAAATGGTGAAAGAACTTCTTGAAGGAATTTACCAACATTTTCTAAGAGAGTATGTTGATCAAGAGGTTTATCTGCTTGTTCACCAGTTTTAAATTGATTGAGCATTTCGTTAATTTTTTCAGTACGAAGAGCTTCAGGTAAATGAGCTTCGACTAATTCCGATAATTCTTTACCAGTAAATTGGCTGAGAAATGCAGCCATATCAGCTGGAAATGGAAAAGCAGCTTCAGGACCACCTGCTTGTTGTTGTTGTTGTTGGTTCATAAAATGACGCCAGAAACGAGGACCACCACCACATCGACCACCATGAAATGGTCCACGGCCACCATGAAATGGTCCGCGACCACCGCCACCACCACATCGACGATGTCCACCAAAGCCGCGTGGAGTTGGGTGAGTTATTTTGATCATGTTGTGTTCAGAATGAATTTTTTTATCCGAACAGGCTTGACATAAATCATAATCGGGACATTCAGCACATCTAAACAGACAAATAATAGTAAATTCAAATAAATAAATAAATAATATTTTCAAAACTTACTTATAACGATTACCGACTACAGGACCTTCACAACCGTCACATTGAACACCATAATGAAGTGTTGGATTTTCTTTTGCTTCTTCCGTTTTTTTAGCTTTTGGTTTAACATAAATTTTAATTACACCACCAGCTGAAATATTATTCAAAGCTGATCGTAATTCATTGTTCGATGAGAATGTAATACGATCATTGTCTTCGTCTACATATTGTAATGTAAATTGACCTTGAACGTAATCACTATTCAATTGAGAAATAGTTGTTTCCAATGCTTGATAAACATCTTGGTTTGTTGATACATCGATCTACAAAATAATTATAGATAGATTTGAATTAAACATATTATAAGAAAAACTTACAGCAAATCGACGAATTTCTGGTTGACTTTCAACGAGATCGTTGTAATAAGCTTTGACAATAACTTGCTGTTGTGTAGAAGACATGGTACGTGTTTTGCTTTAGTTGATTTGAATGAACAGCATAACATTTCTTCGCTCCTTTTATACTACAGTATTGAGACGATGAGTAATCGTAGAAAAGTATAGAAGAATAAGAGCGTTACATAAGGACGAAAGAGAACACTCTGACGTGTCGTTGCACTAATGCAGAGCAAGTATAGAGAAAAGACATATTCACGTGATAGTTAGTCATCACAAAATATGCCTGGTAACAGTTACAATGCAACTTTTTCTATAGATTTCATAGATATTAGAAAATCTTTGAATTAGTAAACCTTTGTTTCTAGATTGTTATGCAAATGTATAAAATGTTCCATGCGATTCTAGAATATTCTGGGTTGTTATATAATATTGTTTTTTTCTTGTTATTCATCAGAAAAAAATTTAAAAATCTAGAGCAAATAATCAATAGAAATATATGTGTTATATCATATTCTTATATTTCCGAGCATTTTATTCGGTTAAAAAATAAGTCATATGTTTTTGTAATTAAAATAAAAGAAAGACGCAATTGAACACGTGAAAAAAGAAAAGTAATAGAATGGAAAAAATGAACTGAATATTCTAGTTACTTTTTCTATTAGAAGTTATATCAAATATTCATAAAATGATAATATAAGAAAATTATAAATTTAATTATCTTCTTGAATTAAATCGATTATAATGTATATAAAAATATTTTCTTTTGAAATTCATTTGACGTCTGAGGATTAGTCATGTTACATATTTGTCGGGATTTGCAGTTGATTATTTCTATGATTTTAAAGTCACACTATTGTGTGTAAGTAAAAGAAAAACAACGTGTATTGATAACTTAAAACAGATTCCCGGACATATGCGTCTGTTTTTTTTATAAACTTTGATTTATCAGTCATTGAATTTATATTACAACAAGATAAGGAAACATCTGGTTTTTCTATGAAGTTAAAATATTTTATCCAGAAAATATATTTATACACACAAATTTAACATAAAAATATAGCATGAATTACTTTGCCAAAAATAATCATTCTATAAATATAGAGTCAGTTGCACATATGGAGTCTGATAATTTTATATAATATATTTGTCAGAGATATTTATTATGATCTATAGTAATAAGACAAATTGACACAAATTAGACAGTCTTATTAATTCTAAAAATATGATGAGGAAAAAACATGTCTGAAGATTTGAAAAATAGAATTTGCTCAATTCAAAACTATAGAGAATATTTCTCTATCCAATTTGCTTTGTTTATATAAAGACAAAAAAACAAGGATTTCATACAAAATTTACATATACGATTGCCTAGCAAGTTCTAATTTTCTATTCAGTAGTTAGTATGAGCAAATCATAATCTATTTCAATAATAATGAACGTTATTTCAATTAGATATCATTTCAACGGGTATTATTCGACAAAAAATATTCTTTTTTATAAATACATTGAAGTGTTATGATCTGATCTAGGGATCAGATTATAATGCTGTCTTGGATGTAATATCTTCTCGATGTGTGATCTAGGTAATAACACTTAGATCTATCTGTTTGTCATCACTAATCTATAAGTGTTTGCCGATGTATGAATACATCAGATTTTTTCAATAAAAGCAGAAGTTTGTCTCTTAAACACATCTTAATAAGAGCTAACATGAAAGACCTACATTGATTTAGGAGATTCCTTAACTTTATTCTACTGTATAAGAATACCTTATTATTAGTCATTTTTCTCAGAATTTTCTTATTTACATTCATTAATTTGCATTAAGACATGTCAAATTTCAAAAATGAAGTTAGGGATAGAAAAGTCATTACTAAAACAAACATGATAAGTACCCGTCATACTTCTACATTTTCATCATTCACTTATAATAATTAGGAGTAAAAGTATCTCATCATTATAATAGATCTTGATCTTTATTTATTTTTCATTTGAGACAGTTCGTTATCCAACTAGTGCATATTTACCTTATGTAATCTTACATGCTACATCTAAGAATATATGAGAATTTCTTAGATATTATAAATGTCCTCATAAGTTTATAGGACATAAGATTATGAATTATCATATTGTTCATTTACTTAAGTTTATCATTAAATCTTTTTCAACGATGAACATTGTCTGTCATTAATTGCATTAATGAACACACTATGTTTCGTAAGTCCTTAACATACAAGAGATAGTTTCTACATTTTTTTTTCTATATTTATTCAAAAACATAATTACCAAGAAAAAGATTAATCATATTTGCATTGGGAGCAATTTAGTGTGCATATTTGATTTTGAATCTAGTAGCATTACTATTCATTGCATTTTATTATATTCTATTATTCATATTACATTATAATTTAAACAATACATGTTCTCGGGTAAGTCCACACAGTATATATATACAGAGATTGTAAAGATAAAGAAAATCTAGTGACTTAAATCGTTAGTATTTTGTTTACTTGAAAATTTGTCCTTGTAAAAAAAAGTTTCAATGACCTTCTAGAAGCAATGAAAGCTATTTTCTTTTCAGAATCCTTGACAAAGAAATTAATGTTATTCAACTTTATTGTTGAAATGAAATTATTTTATTCAGATAGAAAAAATAAAGTTTTATTAAAAACAAAAATATGAAAGTTTTTCTGATAAACTATGTTATTATCGTAATGGAATTTAATATTATCTACGTTGTCCTCGAACATAATTCGAAAAGTCCTATAGAAATAAAAAAAAATAATTATAGAAATAAAATAATGAATAATAATCATACAATTAAAAATAAAGCACCAAGTGCAACTGCTTTCATTCGAACATCAAGATCGAGTGGAACTATAAAGAGAAATATATATATATATATATAGATTAGTTTTTCTAAATAATAAAATTCCTTTATACATTGAATAGTAAAGTTATCAGCGTTGGTCATTGCTTCAACTAAGTATCCTCGATATTTTTTATGAATCGCACCAACTTCATGTACGCCATCAGCAGAATATAACTAAAACATAAGATTTCTTTAGTCATTTAATTGAAACTGACTATATACTAACAGTAAACTTATTTTCACAACAACATGCATATGGTCCATCACACACGCATCCAGGTCCAACAATTTTGAATACTTCCTGACCGCTTATATCTTTAATAGCATAATTCATGCGCCAACCACTACATCTACAAAGACAGAATTATATTTCAATTAAATTTCTTTGTATTTTTTTCCCGTAAACATACTCCTGAGCAACTGAACCAACGAATGTTCCAGGAGGTGATTCAACCGTCACTTCTTGACTACATGCTTCGCAACATGCACACCAGCAACATCCAGAACAACATTTAAAGTCTCGATGAACACGAATGACTTCCTAAAGTAAAGCAAATAGAAATTTTTTTGTCACTATTATTTTCACACAAACTGTGTTGCTACTGTCAACAATATGAAGAGTAAATTTACGCGTTTTTGGACAATATATGCGTTCACAAAAATCAGAATCTATATAAAAAAAATACATTTTTTTTTGAGAAAAAATTTTAATTAAGATTTTTACCTTCAAACGCATAGTAAACTTGTTCTCCTCGATCATTAAATATTCCAAATTTTTCTTGAGCTGGTATTCCAAGCATCACTAAAAATGGAAAAGCATTTACAGAAAAGTATGTCAATAAAACATACTATCAGTTAATGAAACAACTTCTTTAGCTAATAGTGAATTTAATGATTTTAAATGAGCAAGAGGACTTTGATCACCACCTGGTTTATCCATCCATTTTTGTTGTTGTTGAGGGTTCATGATATTATTTCCAAGCATATTATTAGCTTGCATCATTACTCCTGTGCGATTCATTCTCAGTTTTAATAATTTATTTCAAAAAAATGAAGGTCACATTTTTTTCTTCTTCTATATATATAATCATATGACGTGAATTTCGAAGCAAATACGTCTATTTTCTTCTTTTCTTTTTCTGTTTGTGTATTTTCATCAGTAAAATTTGAAGTGTATGTACGTCATGCCAGTTGCATCTGTGACGTACATACTGTTTTTTAATAAGAAGTATCCACAGCTGAGAATCCATAAAAAATACGCCTCATGATCTCTCTATAAATATACGTTTATTTACTTTTCTTCCTATCTGACATTTCGTTGAAAAAAGTAAAAGAAAAATCAATTTTTTTTCGAATAAATATATCACAATAAATGTAATCTATTACAATTAAACTCAAACGCCTACGTCATAGACGGGACTATACAATTATTAGAATAAATTATAGCTTATTTTAAACTATATCCTGTCTAAATAAACGTGAATGAATAATGCAAAATTTTTATTTATATAAGTGTTGTCAAATAAACTAGAAAAAAACTACTTCCACTTATTTAGTCATTTTTTCTGTTGATAGGTAATCTTCGAGTACGCTGTAAGTATTGTTGGATTGATCAACAGCAAAAATAACAATGTCATTATAAAAAGAAAAAAAAAGGCCAGAAAATAGACTTGATGCGGAAATAGAATGACATGTCCCAATAAAAAAACAGTCGACAGTATGATTTCATGGTGTCAATCACATAATATCATTTCTAACTGATATGTAATAATAATTTTGATTTGATTTGCAAATCTAATGAAAATTTTTCACAAATATGCACTTATATATCGTATGTCTATTTGTTCAGATAAGATGTAAGTTTTACCTAGAAATATTATATATAAGACAAACATTTTTCCTACTATAGTATATATATATATAGACTACGTTTATATTTTGGACGAGTAAACTAGTCGATGACTATAGTAAACAATGCATATATTAGCAATATGTAAAAATAAAATAAAAAGAACTGTGTCAGTAGGTGTTAAAATCTTTCAAGTATATTAATGTTGATCTCCCGTAGATTTGTGTCGTGAGAGAATGATGTGAGTTATAATCATTATAATTCATTAAGATAGAGTAAAATGGAGAGGATAAAAACATCTTCAAAGATATAAATCAATGTAATGAATAGAATGTTGTCTCTTTTCTTAACGGATTTTCTTTCTTTTTTTTCTTCTTCTTCTTCTTTAATGCGTGTTGTTTTATTATAATAATTCCATGATGCGTCTAATATTTCTCCTGACAACATATCATGACTCTTCTATATTTTAACTAGACATTAAATAAAAGTAGGAGTCTTAACTAATGATGTTTTTGATAATTTCAGAAAAATATAAGACTTCGTTAAGGAAATAGTTTAGGCTTATTAAGCTACAATGTTATTTAAACAGTCTTTAATTATCAACATATTTTAACCGTCATCATCATTAGCGTTATTATTTTGCGTTAACGATTGTTTTCCTAGTTCTGTTTTGTTAAGATAAACAGTCTTTCTAGTTTCTCATGCTGTTATATGTGTGTATACATAGCTAAATTGAGAAAATACATAACAAGTAAGTGCATGATCTTGCATAAATTAGCAAATCTTCTTTACAGTTTTTTTTGCTATTTGCGTACTTTATTTTAAGTTAATATATTCATCGAGATGAACTTCTTTTTTTTTAGATTTTGACACATTTCTTTTTTCTTGGAAAACATATTGATATAAGATATCAAGATTTCTTTCTTGCCCTATCTAATTATCTACAAGTAGGAGATATCTCGTGGATTGACATAACATTTCTATGGAGATAAACTATTACTTGACATATTCTACATAAAGAAAATTAATCGACGTCATTAACAATAGATCTTTATTAAACATCCTTTTGTAGTTTAATAAACAATGAATATAATGTCAATTATTAAAAATAACTTTCAGTTCTCATAATATATTTTATTACGTTTTATCTTTTAGATAATAAAAAGAAATTCTCTTAACATTTTATATTCATTCGAAGAGCCTACGATGGATACAGTACAAATGTCTGCAAATGATTCACTATTAGTAGATTTATCATGTAGAGAAATTGAGGATTTCATGTTAAAAGATTTCAATGCATCAGACCACGAATCATCACGAAATATGACACGTGAAGCTTATCTTCTTTTAAATCGTTTACCATACTGTGAACCGAAACCATATCCAACTGCAGAAGGTACAGAAAAATGGATAATAGTTATAATATTAATAAGTTTTCTTATATTTGGACTTATTGGAAATTGTTTATCGGCAACAATTATGTTTCGTCGTTCACGTCGAGGACTTTCATCTTATTTCTATTTAGCATTATTAGCTATTACTGATGTATGTGTACTTTATACTGGTTGCCTTTTATTTTTACTTGATATATTATTTGGATATCATCCACAAATTCAATCACAATTTCTATGTCGTCTAGCTTTTTATATTCAACATTTAGTTACTTGTATATCAGCTTGGCTTATTGTTGCTGTTACATTTGAACGTTTTATAGTTGTTCGATATCCATTTCAATCTATACGTTTATGTCGTATGCATGTTGCATATTCAATATCAATAATAATCTTTCTATTTTTTTCCAGTTATGCAGCACATTATTTTTTTACAGTTGATATATTACATGTTGATTTACGAACAGATGAAGGTTATCATCCTGACCAACCTATTTGTGATACAAAGGTTCATCGAAAATTATTATCATTTATTGATTTATGTTTATATAGTGTTATACCATCAATATTAATTCTTATATTTAATATTTTAATTATTATAGCTATGTTTCATGCATTGAAAAAACGACGAGATTATTTACAAGCAAATAGTTATACTCCAACATTGAATTCATCTCCAAGAAATAAAAATAAAAGTTCATCAACAATACGTACACAATTTCTTCGAAGTCGTTCAGCAGGTTAGTTTTCTTTTCATGTGGAAATGTTAATAGTTTCTAGGCATTTGTTTTTACTAAGATATTTTCCAGGTCAAAACGCCATTAAATATCATTATATAACACTCATGATTTGTAAAAAAAATAGAAAGTTAAGTACAAACGGAAGCGGTTTTTGCATACAGGATGCTTTCAATTTCTGAATATCTAATGAAATAAATTTTCATATTTAAAATATCAGAATATTTTTCTAACTATATGAGTTTTTTTTCTTGCAAAGATAATCATTAGAAAATTCTTTTTTTTTGTTTAGAATCAAGTCCAGCTATTCGTTCACATAGTCAAACAAATAAACAACGTATTTATCGTGATCCAGTAAATAATAAAATGGTTGAACAGGATCAGAAACAAAATACAAATCAAAAAACTTTACTTGATCCAACAAGTGCAACTGGAATACGATTAACATGTTTATTATTACTTATTTCGTTTATATTTGTTGTTTGTACATTACCAATATCAATACGTCCATTAGTAGTCGATTATTTACCATCATTTAAATCAACAAAACGTTGGCGAATAACGCAAGATTGTTTAACACTATTAATGTTTTTAAATCATGCAGTAAG